AAAAAAAAAAAAAAATAGATGGAGACTTTATATCTTTGGTATTAACCTGAATGGAGTTGAAAAACATTCTTCTTAGTAAAGGATCATAAAAATGAAGAAGTATCCTATATATTAAATACTAGTATTAAGCCAGTAGATGATCAATACACACCTACATAAGAGAAAAACTCAGATCAATTCAAGGTAGGGGGAGGGGAAATGAGGAATGGGGATGGGTATGCTCCCACTTAATAGACACAATGTTAGAGTGTATGGCATACCTCTAACATTATTACCAATTGGTAACATTATTACCAATAATAAGAGAGACTCCACCTAACAAGTACAAACATTGTAACCTATTTCTTTGTACCCTCAAATGGACCTGAAATAAAAATACAAATTAATTAATTAAACAAAATTTTCAGGTAGCTATAAGGGTACTAAAAATGATCCCTGAAAGTTCTTGTTATAGCTCTGAAAACTAGCTGGGTATCGTGGCAGGCTCCTGTAGTACCATTTATTGGGGAGGCAGACGCAAAAGGATCACTTGAGCCCAGGAGTCTGAAGTTGCTGTAAGCTGTGACACCAAGGTACTTTAGCCTGGGGCAACAGAGTGAAACTCTGTCTCAAAAATACATATATATACTACCTAACTTATTTGAAGCAAGCTAATGTGGCCGAAACTGAGTGAGTAAGTTGCAGACAGGGTGAGAAAAGTCAGATGGGGTCAAAAGATAGGGACCAGAGTATGTGGGACCCTGCAGGACTTATGCATTTATCTTGGATGAGATGGAAATCCTATTGGATAGTTTTGAGAAGTAACATATTACCCAGAAATTTCAGTGGAAGGGAAATTAATGTTTGCTTGTTTTGAAAAAGTAGGAAGTATTTAGGAGAGAGAGAACACCAACATACCTGGTACATGGTCTTAAGAAGTCCAACATTCATTCTTTCTTCCTCCTGGCTCTTCTCTTAGGAAATGGCAATGTCCTCAGATGACTGAGATAGGGAAGAGAATGTGAGAAACTAGGCTTTCCTTGCAGCATCCAGAGTCTCCAGGCTAAACTTTTTAGGCTTCTTTTTCCCCATGTTGCTATCTTCCCTCGGATAGAGAGAGGATAATGGAGACCTAGGAATGTTTGCACACAATTGAATTCATGTTTAAATCAATTCTTTATTACTTTTAATAGATTTTCTAGCTCTTACAAAGACTCAGAGGAATGTAAGCATTAACGTAAAGACACACAACTAATAAGAGCACCAAGATCAAATAAAGGTCTGCCTGACTCCACACTCCGTCTCCTCTTCAATAGATCAGAGACTCTGAAACTTGGTGGCAAGATGACAGCATTTGTCTAGCTTTAAAAGACACTGTCTGGCACACAACTCACTCAGTCCCTGCACATACGCACTGCCAATAACCGTCTTACATTCGCCACGGTTAGATGACATGGGTATGGACACTTTTCCTCATACTCTTAATCTTCAAACTCTAGGGTACCACAACCGACAAGCTCACTCACATCTCAGTCACTAAGAGGCCGCGGGTCCTGGCACAACGGAGGGCAGCGGATACCCGTCCACTCAGTCTCACACTCTTTGGTACCAGTGACTCACTTGCACCCTCAGTCACTCAGATACGACGCGGAGTGCACATCGGGTGACAGTCTCATTGGAGGTACCCACCATGTCTCACACGTAGAGTCACACATAGAGGGCCGAGGGACCGGACTTTGAGAACCCTTTAGGTCACTGTTCAGCCCACTACCTACCTGCAGAACTGAACTGCGAAAAGATCCCGTTCCCGCCCCGAAGCCTCGGGAAATTTCCTCTCGGGCCTCACCCGCTACCCCAAGCGTTGGATGGAACCCAGCACCAGCGCCGGGAAAGAAGCGCCGCAGCTGCCTCGGCGTCCGGAGGACACAAAGGGGCCGCCGGGCCAGTTCCCGCGGGGGCCACTGGGAAACGTAGTCCGCAGAAAAGGCCGCGGCGCCGGGGAGTCCGGCAGCCCCGGAGCAGCCCCGGTGCAGCCCGGGTGCAGCCCGGCTCTGGGTGTCCCGTGCCTCCCAGTCTGCTGCGAGTCCTTCCACGCCCAGCCTCTGCCAGGCCTTCCAAAGCGGAGCCGGAAAGTCTCGATTCCTCTCAGTTCTGAGCCTGGGTCGGCCCCAGAGACTGGGCCCAGCGTCACGCGAGTGTCTCGGATTGAATTGCGCAGGCACAAGCGCTCGGCCCACTACCTCCCTCCGCAGCCATGGCGGGGAACTCGGAGGCGCCGGGTAGCGGTGGGCGGGTGGGGGGCTCTGTGTGCAACGCGCTAGCGCGCGCGCGCCTACACAAAGTGGGCGGACGTCCGGTGGCCAGAGATGTGCAGGGACAGCCGAGAAAAGTTGGGGGAGCCAGGCAGGTAGAGGGAGTTTGAAAAATTTGGAGGTATTCGTGCAAGGAAAATTTGAGAGGGTTCACAGGATGAACACAGGGAAGGAATATTTCGGAGTGTGAGGAATGCGTGGATGTAAGGAATCTCCGACCATTTGGCTAATTTGTGACAGTAATTTTTGAGATTAGTGAGAATTGAGATATCGAAGGTGCCATGTTTAGGCCAATGTGAACCACTGTCAAGTTTGTAAGTGCCATGTTTAGGCCACGCAGTATTACATAGATAAATGACGCGTGTAGGTTTGAGGTAAGGACTAGAGGTTCGAGGTTAGTTAAAAGATAGCTTAGAGGTGAAGAAGGGGGAATCCGTGACTGAGTAGTGCCCATAGTAAAAACTAGAGAAAGAAAGCAAATGAGATTGAAGTTAACGCGAGGAGACTGTTCGCAGAAAATAAAGGGAATTTAAGGACCAATAGAACAACTGAGACTGCAATAAAACGACCAAGTCTGCAACCAGAGAGGGCGCCCTCTGCCTTTGGTTGTCAGCCAAATCTAGGCCTCCAGGAAGATCCTAGTTGAGTCAACGTGGTTCACTGGACATAATTACTGAAAACAATCCGAACCCACAGTAGGGTTGGCGAGGCTGGCATTGGGAGATTACCTGAACTCTCCACTTAGGACTTCGGTCAAAAGAGGGCAGTATCTCTGTACATGACCTCAACCAGCGGAAGGGACCTGGGCCCACAGTAGGGATGGGGGTAAGATGGGAAGAGGGAAATTCAGCCTCCACCTGCGGGAAAAGGAGTTGAGACATCATATAAAAATACGTAAGAGCGTGAAAAGAGGTAGGAGGAGGAAAGAAGTGCAGAAAAAGATTTTAGATAAGAGTACGAAGTAGATGAATGTTAGGCAAGGTTAGAGTGCACGGTTTCTCTTTGTCTCGCGGGAATAAGGGTCCTTTTGGTTAGGTTCGATGGGGTTTATTTTTAGCCCCCCAAAGGGGCTTCTTCCAATCCCAGGTTTCAGCACCAAATGAAAGGTTCTGGACCCAAGGAAAAAATCATTCTGAGACACGAGGCGAAAGGAAAATGGAGATCCAATTCATGCAATTAAAGTGACTTTTATTCCATCTGGAGTGCAGGTGGGGTGAGATTCCTGACTGGGGAGAAATTCACAGGTTGAACACACCTGGAAGAATACCCGTGAGTGGACAGGGATTTAGAGGTTAGGGCAGCCAGGATTGGTGGCATTCTTATTTCCTGGAAGGAACATGAGTCCGACCCTTCCCGGACGGACAATGAACCTGACCTTGTCTAGGAGGGGCAAGTTTGTTTGGGCAAGTACACTTGATTCTATCACATAGGCGCATTATGCTTCTGCCCAGTCTCCCCACCTCCTTCACCCTAAGGTGTTATGGTTGGGGGTAATGGAGGGGAGGGGTGAACTAGAGCAGAGAGTGTGGCCCTCTGCTTGTGGTTCCTGTTTTTCAATTAGTAAGGGTAGGTGTGATTGTATCTCCTCTTTCTAAAATGGGTATTCTTCCAAGTGTGTTCAAGATTCCCGTAAATTCAGATAAAAATTCACATCTCTAAAGTCTCTTTCCTGGCAGTCCATACCTCCTTAGCATGGCTCTATACCCCCATAGAACACAGCACATATATATATATATATGTGTGTATATATATATATTTTTTTTTTTTTTTCCAGTTTTTGGCTGGGGCTAGGTTTGAACCTGCCACCTCCAGTATATAGGGCTGGTGCCCTACTCCTTTGAGCCACAGGTGCCACCCGACACAGCACTTATATTTTAAGGTTATATTTTACTGTATACCCTCAACAAGTTTCTGTCACCTGATTGTGATTTTGATGTGAGTATATGACCCTTAGAATTCATCATTGTGTGTGTGTCTTTGAGTGTACAACTGTGTGTTGAGGTAGGCATGTGACAATTCTGTTATAGTGTATGTGACATTTGTGACGTTAACTGTAGGATGTGCTATGATAGAAAGTATTCTCCATCTGTCGAGAATGAAGTAGGAATGTGGAATGGATGGTGAGAGTTAGACTGATGCTTGTGGGTTTATGTATGGAATTCTGCCCTGCAGTATCTAATTATAAAGCATCTATTGGGCTGGGACTGTGGCTCACACCTGTAATTCCAATACTTTGAGAGGCCAGTCAAGAGAATCTATGAACTCAGGAGTTCAAAAGGCAATTTGAGGCTGGGCATGGCGGCTCATTCCTGTAATCCTAGCACTCTGAGAAGCCGAGGCCGGTGGATTGCTTGAGCTTATGAGCTCAAGACCAGCCTGAGCAAAAGCAAGACCCCGGTCTCTACTAAAAATAGAAAAACTGAGGCGAGAGGATCCCTTGAGCTGGAGTTGGAGCTTGCTATGAGCCATAAGGCCACTGCACTCTACCCAGGGTGACAGGTTGAGACTCTGTCTCAAAAAAAGGGGAGGGGTGCAACTTGAAGAGGCTTAATGTGTATGTAATTGGATAACATGTGGAAATTTGGATCTACACAAAGAAATAAAGAACATCAGAAATGGTGACTACAGAGTAAACAATGTATGGCTTTTTTTTTAATTTAAATCACCATAAAAGAGAAAAAAAAATAAATCTCACCATAAGACAAATTGCTGTTTAAACAAAAAATAAAAGGTGTAGTTTATAACATAAATAGAAGTAAATTGTATGACAACAGTAGCACAAAGGCTAGAAGAGAAATAAATTATTGTTAAGGTTCATATACTCGGCTCGGCGACTGTAGCACAGTGGTTACGGCGCCAGCCACACAGCCGAAGTTGGCAGGTTCGGCTGGAGCCAGCTAACCAACAATGACAACTGTTAACAAAAAATAGCTGGATATTGTGATGGGCGCCTGTAGTCCCAGCTACTTAAGAAGCTAAAGCAAGAGAATCGCTTGAGCTCAAGAGTCTGAAGTTGGCTCGGCGCCTGTGGCTCAAGCAGCTAAGGTGCCAGCCACATGCACCTAGGGTGGCAGGTTCGAGTCCCCAGCCCGGGCCCACCAAACAACAATGATGGCTGGAACCAGAAGATGGCCGGGCGCTGTGGCGGGCACCTGTGGTCCCAGCTACTTGGGAGGCTGAGGCAGGAGACTCGCTTGAGCCCAGGAGTTGGAGGTTGCTGTGAGTGTGATGCCATGGCACTCTACCCAGGGGGATAGCTTGAGGGTCCGTCTCAAAAAAAAAAAAAAAAGAGTTTGAAGTTGCTGTGAGCTACAATGCCACGGGATTCTCTCCAGGGCGACAAATAATAATAATAATAATCAATAATCTTTTCAATAAATGGTACTGAAGCCAATTAGCTATTCATGTGAAAAAAATTACATATTGACCCCTACCTCACACTGCACTTACAAATTAATTCCAGATAGATTGTAGCTCTAAATTTTAAAAATGGATAAGGAAATCTTTGTCACATGGAAAATGCAAAGGTTTCTTAAACAAGAAACAAAATCATTAAACAGTTGTATGAATTCTCCTCTTCCTTAATTGATAGTTAACTATATTTAGCCCCAGCACATTCTTGAGAAACAAGAAACATAACCTTAAGGCAAACAGAATGTGCCCAAATCTGCTTGGTTGGCCTCACTCTTCAGGGGTCCAAAGGGGCTGGTAGACTCCTTGTTCCCCTGTGAGGCAAACAGGCTGATGCCAATGGCCACACTGGAAGAAAGAAGTTCTTCCTCTCTTCTCTGCCCTAGAGGTCCTTCCTCGTATGGGTTTTGGTTGTGCACACTGTTCCAGTGACTTTTGCAATACCCACTTCTCTCCCAGCTGCGTTCCAGCCCCCTTTAGGGCTGGAGCCTTATTCGTTGGGAGAGCCGTGGTCCCCAGGTTAGATCAATACCTGTCTGGCCTTGCCTTGCTGCACTTGCACTCGGATATTTGCATGTGAATGCGCCTGGGCCATTTAAACTTTAAGGAGGCAAGTCGCACTCACTGTTTGCTTCCTCAAACCTGTTTTCTGCAGGAATTGCAGACACGTTATTAGTCAGCAAAACTACTTTAAAAAAAAAAACTGAAATACTAAAGGTAAGCTGCTGTTTCTTTGCTCAGTTAAACTTAGAAGCTCTACTTTGCTCTTGGACGGTTTTTCTCTTGGGGGGTTGGGAGTTCAGGTTTCCCAATCTCTGATTTACCCTACGAAGTCTCACACAAATAGCATCACTCTCCCCTCTTCTGACTGCTGCCAGGAGCTTGAGCCTCAAAGTGACCCCGCCAGCCCCTTGGATCTGTCACCACTTTCAGTCCAGTCTGGGATAGAGACCCAACCAGACGAAACTAAACAGACTGAGTGGGATTTCCCTCGCCAACTAGACAACCTAACCCCGTGAACCTGAAGATCTTGTCAATTGCAAGAAGAAAGAGCACTCTGGGGCAAGGGGGAGGGGAACAAACAAACAAACAAACAAACAAAAAACAAACAAACAAAAACAAAAATGTAGTCTGGGGCCGCGAAGGCCTCTGGGAACTGTAGTCCGGAGCAGGAAACCTGCGGAACTATTCGGGTGATTCTCAGTGCCCAGCCTCTGAGTGCCGCGCGCTGGGGAGGCAGCGCTCGCAAAACCCCAGGCTGAGCCTCCTGCGCAGAGCTGTGCCATCTTACGCGCCGCCAGTCCGCAGTGTCCTCCGTTCCCGCGAGCAGGAAAGTCTGTCCTGCCGGGTGAGCCGCTGGGCCCTCCGGGAAGCGCTGCCCGGCATCTGACAGACCCCGGCTCGTGTTGCCCTCAGCCGCGGCCAGCGGTGACCCCAGCGCTCCCCTGACACAGCCCGCGCCGGCGGTGCCACTGGGCGGCGTTGGGGTGTGTGGAATCGGGGCCTATGTCCGCGGGCTCGGTGGTGAGTCCTCGGGAAGCGGCGAGCTCTGAGCCCGGGACTCTTTGTGCGGGGTGGGAGTCGGGCCTGCGGACCCGGTGCCGGTTTTTTTGGAAGAGGACGCGAGGCGGGGCGGTGCCTGGGGTTCCCTGACGCAATGGGGGCGGCGTGTGAACGACTAAGTCTGGCATGGCGTGACTGTCATTTGTCGGGCAATTCCCTGACTCGGTGTGACCGTGGGGTGATGTGTGTAAGCGGATTTTGTGGAGGCACTTCCCATCTTTCAATATGAACGTGGGTGCAAACGTGCGTGACTGGGGGATCGTGAGAGAATGGAAGGTAGGTTATGTCTGTGGGTGCAGATAAGTGAGATGTTTGTACCAGTGCTGCGTTTCTTTGGTAATGGTAATTGGAGATTTGTTTTTATATGAAAGATCGATAGCCCCAACACTTTAATATCTATTTTTAATCTTATTTTTGTTTAATAGCAATGTTGTTTTGTACGCGTACTAAATTCATTCTCCTTACCCCCCTCGTCAAATCGCAAAATACAGAAAAGCTCAAAGAACAACAGTCATTTATAATCTATCAGCTATAGAACCACTGTCAAAATTTACTTTCCCACCTCTTCATGCCTTTCTTGTGAATACGTACACATACATTCATGTGTTCTTATTTATGTGCCTTTAAAATTGCAATCACACTACACATACAGTTCTGTAACCCACCTTTCTCATTTAACAATACATCATTGCTGTTTTTCTTTTTTACTTTTTCCTTTTTTTTTTTTCTTTGAGACAGAGTCTCACTCCGTTGCCCTGGGTAGAGTGCAATGGTATCATAGCTCACAGCAACCTCAAACTCTTGGGCTTAAGCCATTCTCTTGCCTCAGCTTCCCAAGTAGCTGGTACTACAGGTGCCCACCACAATGCCTGGCTATTTTTGTTGTTGTTGTAGTTGTCATTGTTGTTTGGCAGGCAAGGGCAGGACTGGCGCCCTGGCTGCTGAGCTATAGAGGTGGAGAGTAGTTTTTCTATTTTTAGTAGAGACCGTGTCTGCTCTTGCTCTGGATGGTTTTGAACTCCTGAGCTCAAGCAATTCACTTGGCTCAGTCTCCCAAAAGGATTACAGGCATGAGCCTATTGGCCAGCCATTACTATCTTTCTGTTAAAAAGTGAAGAAATCGGCTTGGCGCCTGTGGCTCAAGTGGCTAAATACACCTAAGGTGGCAGGTTCAAATCCAGCCTGGCCTGCCAAAACAACAATGACGGCTACAACCAAAAAAAAAAAAAAAAAATAGCTGGGCATTGTGGTGGGTGCCTGTGGTCCCAGCTACTTGGGAGGCTGAGGCAGGAGACTCGCTTGAGCCCAGGAGTTGGAGGGCTCAACACAACTCAACACAGCTGTGAGCTGTGATGCCATGGCACTCTACCCAGGGGGTTAGCTTGAGGCTCTGTCTCAAAAAAAAAAAAAAGTGAACAAATCTATGCCATTATTTTAAAGTTTTTCATAGTATACATTTACACCTATTGATAGGTAATTTGGTTCCTTTCAAATTCTTGCAATTGTAAAGTGTGTTTATCAACAACTATTTGACACATGTTATAATGAACTTTTCTAAATTTTTTGGAAGGGAGGGTAGGAACCTACAAGTAGAAATCATAGATATGCTGTTTTGTTTTGTTTTTTTTTTTGAGACGGAGTCTCACTTTGTCACCCTTGGTAGAGTGCTGTAACATCACAGCTCACAGCAACCTCAAACTCTTGGGCTTAAGCAATTCTCTTGCCTCAGCCTCCCACGTAGCTGAGACTACAGGTGCCCACCACAACACCCGGCTATTTTGTTGTTGTTGTTGCAGTTGTCATTGCTGTTTAGCTGCCTAGGCCAGGTTCGAACCCACCAGGGTGGGTGTATGTGGCCGTGGCTGGTGCCCTATTTACTGAGCTATGGGCACCGCCCAAAATGTATGCTGTTTGGCCCAGGCGGGTTCAAACCCACCACCCTTGTTATATGGGTCTGGTGCCCTACTACTCACTGAGCCACAGGCACTGTCCAATATATGCTATTCTTAAAGGCACCTCTGCAGTGTGAATATTCTTAGCCTTTCTGATGGATCCATTCTGCTACAAATTGACCCTTAATCTTCCTTGTGGTTACAAGTTTCTGAAACCACAAGATAAGCTTGTTCTAATGACTTTTGTTCTCTTCCCCAGGTCTGTCTCCTCAGGCCTTATTCCTTCCCGGAGAAAAGAGGAAATGACTCAGTCCCAGGTAAACATTAAACAGTGTATTTGCTTCCTACTTTATTCTATAGTAAAGTTTAAGGGTATTTTAGTAATCCATACAGTAAATTAGAAAGGTCTATATATAGCTGGGTGTGGTGGCTTATGCCTGTAATCCTAGCACTTTGGGAGGCTGAGGCAGGTAGATTGCCTGAGCTGAGGAGATCTAGACCAGCCTGAGCAAAATCAAGACCCTATCTCTACTAAAAAATAGAAAAACTAGCCAGGCATTGTAGTGCATGCCTACTCTGGAAGCTGAAACCAGGGATCACTTGAGCCCAAGAGTTTGAGTTTGCTGTGAGCTAGGATACCATGGCACTCTATCCAGGGCACAGAGTGAGACTCTGTCCGTGCCCCACCAAAAAAGGCCTATATACATAAAACATTTTCAGATGAAATGAAGTTGAAGGATTAAAACAAGGGAGGATTAAACGTGTGGTTATATTATAAAATGTGTTCATTCAGAGAGACTCAAATTGGGCTTCAGTTTTAAAATTTTATTTTTTTGCAACTTGGACTTTACCTAACAAACTCAAACAATGTAACTTAATTATTTGTAACCTCATAGTAATCTGAAATTTTAAAAAAATTAATTTTTATTGATAAAGCAAACCAAAGCAGAAATTTCTGCAGAAATTTGTTACATAAATTTCATATAAGGGTAACAAAAATTTCCTAACAGAAATAAGCTTTTCTAGTGGCACCTGTGGCTCAAAGGAGTAGGGTACCAGCCCCATATGCTGGAGGTAGTGGGTTCAAACCCAGCCCCGGCCAAAAACTGCAAAAAAAAAGAAATAAGCTTTTCTTTGGCACGTAGGTCAATGAAAGCATTATAGTATGACTCCTTTTAGTTAATAGACCTAGATTTTTTTAATGGTATGGTTTGATGAAGGATAAAACAAAGATTATCTGTCAAAATAGCCCAGCGTTGGAAAATGCAAATAAACATTAACAGAAAAAGGAATAAATTATAGCATTTCATGTGGTGGAATACTACACAATGATGAAAAAGAATAGGTGATAGTGACACAGAACAACATGGATGGATCACACAAACACAGAGTGAAGAAGCCAGAAACAAAAAAGTAATTACCACATGGCTTCATTGATATGAAGTTGAAAACTGGAAAATCTCATATAATTGTGATACAAGTCAGAATAGTAGTTACCCCTTAAGAGGGTATTTCCTAGGAAAATGCAGGGGAAAATCTAGACTGCTGAAAATGTTTTGACTTAACCGGTAGGTAGACATGTCTATAAACATATAAAAATAGATCAGGTTGTATACTTAAGATTAGCTCATTTTACCACATTACTCCATGCGTGTCATACACTATTTATTATTTTTATTATAAGTTAATTGGGCTCGGCGCCTATAGCTCAACCGGCTAAGGCGTCAGCCACGTACACCTAAGGTGGCGGGGTCAAATCCCCAGCCCGGACCTGCCAAGAACAACAATGACGGCTGCAACCAAAAAATAGCCGGGCGTTGTGGCGGGCGCCTGTGGTCCCAGCTACTTGGGAGGCGGAGGCAAGAGACTCGCTTGAGCCCAGGAGTTGGAGGTTGCTGTGAGCTGTAATGCCACGGCACTCTACCCAGGGGGACAGCTTGAGGCTCTGTCTCAAAAAAAAAAAAAAAAAAAAAAAAAAAAAAAATAAGTTAATTGGAGGGTACATATGATTAGGTTACAATTATACATCAATTTAAAAAGAGAAAACAGGCCAGACACAGTAGTGCATGCCTGTAATCTTAGCACTCTGGGAGGCTGAGACAGGTGGATTGCTTGAGTTTAGAAGTTCAAGAGGAGCCTGAGCAAGAGCTAGACTTTCTTTACTAAAAATAGAAAAACTAGTGGGATGTCATGGCAGGTGTCTGTGGTCCCAGCTAACTTGGGAGGCTGAGGCAGAAGGATTGCTTGAGCCCAAGAGTTTGAGATTGCAGTGTGCTTTGATAATACCATGGCACTCTACTTAGGGCAACAGAGTGAGACTCTGCCTCAAAAAAATAAAATGAAATAAGTAATAAAATAAAATATAATAAAAATAGAAAACAAGACTATCTGAAGAAAGAGATGGGATGTGTGTCTTTCAAAAGACATCCCTATGTAATTATCTTTTTCAGGGGGCATTTGCTGCTGATAAACCATAATCTAAAGTAATAATTTCTGGAAATTTCTTATAATTTCAGTCGACTAGAATATAAGCAGAGAGTGTGCTTTACTTTGTTTATTGCTATATCTCCAGCTTTTAGAACAATGCCTAGTACACATTTTGGGGGGGAATATTTTTGTTTTTGATGAATTGAATACACAGTTCTTTATTTTCTTTATTTAGTCTCTGTTGTTTTTTTATTTTTATTTTTTTTTTTTGAGACAGAGTCTCACTCCGTTACCCTGGGGTAAAGTGCTATGGCATCATAGCTCCCATCAACCTCAAACTCATGGGCTCAAGTGATCCTCCTGCTTTAAGTCTCCTGAGTAGCTGAGAATATAGGTGCCCACTATGACACTAGGCTAAGTTTTCTATTTTTAGTAGAGACCGTGTCACTCTTGCTTAGGCTGGTCTTGAACTCCTGAGCTCAAGCAATCCACTCTCCTCAGCCTCCCCAAGTGCTAGGATTACAGGCGAGAGTAACCATACCCAGCCTATTTAGTCTTATAACAAATGATATTCTGTCTCCTTTTTAAGGATAATTATTTACTTCAGAACTTAACCCTTTTTCTTCACATTTCCTTTGAGGTCATCCTCTTTCAGATTTATTATGCATTTTCACCCTCAGCTCAAAACTTGCTAAACTGAGATATACCTTTTTTTGACAATGTGTCCCTACCTACCAGGTTGTCTATACTTTCTTCTTCTGGTGCTCAGTTAATTTACAAAGCAAGTACAACTTTGTTGCATAGCACAAGCACTAGATCAAAGAATCCAATATTGTAGCTCCCCAGAAGATGCTTTTTGTAACTTTCTAGTCATTACCCTCACCCCAAGGGTAACCACTATTCAACTTCTACCATTATAAATTATTTCAGCCTATCTTTTAACTATATATAACCTATGTATTCTGTGTCTGGTTTCTTTTATTTAATGTTTATCAGATTTTTCCATGTTACATGATCACATCTAGTTGTTCAGTTAATCTCATTGCTGTTGTCTAAGCAAAGCAATGTCAGGCAATTAAAAATAAAGAAGGGTCTATGTGTTAATATCAGATAAGACAGAATTCAAGATAGTGGGCTTTAAACAAATAAAAAACAAGTTCTTTAAAATGTTGATTGGTGGCTCGGTGCCTATAGCTCAACCGGCTAAGGCGCCAGCCACGTACACCTAAGGTGGCGGGTTCAAATCCCCAGCCCGGACCTGCCAAGAACAACAATGACGGCTGCAACCAAAAAATAGCCGGGCGTTGTGGCGGGCGCCTGTGGTCCCAGCTACTTGGGAGGCGGAGGCAGGAGACTCACTTGAGCCCAGGAGTTGGAGGTTGCTGTGAGCTGTAATGCCACGGTACTCTACCCAGGGGGACAGCTTGAGGCTCTGTCTCAAAAAAAAAAAAAAAAATGTTGATTGGTGCAGTAGATAATAAAGATAAATAGGACTATTTCTGTTCCAAATAACTTGCAGCAAAATTCACTGTAACATTGTGAAAAATAAGAAGAAACATTAAGAGTAGACTTTCATTTGTCTTCCTTAACCAGTGGTAAAGTAGAAAGATAAAGTAAAGAAAGAGTAAATGTAACTACCAATAATAATTTGATAGAGCTAAATGATTAACATGGCCTGAAACCTAGAAATAATTAGTACCCCTTATTTAGAAATGGAATAAACTTAAAAAGTAACTACATTTTAGGCCTGAATAACTAAGGCCTTTTCCTGGGTTCCATATACAGTATATGGGATCATCTTGCCTTGTGAAAGGGTCCTACATCTTCCACATGATTTTCTACAATGTAATTAAATATGGTTATAATAAAGATTACTTTTTTGAGACAGAGTCTTATTTTGTCGCCCTCAGTAGAGTGCTGTCACATCATAGCTCACAGCGACTTCAAACTCTTGGGCTCAAGTGATCCTCTTGCTTCAGCCTCCTGAGTAGCTGGGACCACCAGCACCTACCACAACCCTAGCTATTTTTAGAAACAGGATCTTGCTCTAGCTTAGGCCCGTCTCAAACTGCTGAGCTCAGGCAATCCACCTGCCTGAGCCTCTCAGAGTGTTGGAATTACATGTGTGAGCCACCACAGCTGGCCATAATAAAATTTTCTTTTTAAAGAAACTCTTCCACACTGAAATTTTGAAACGTCCACTGAATCTGGTTTGGCTGGCTGTTTTTCTGGGCATTCAGTGGCTGAACTTACGGTACATTTCTCAATAATGGTCCAAGAGCCTCTCTGTTGGCTGGCCTCCACTGGATCTTTGGAACCTCTATAGAACTCCCTGAGTCTCTGTTATGTCCTCAGAACCCATGTTCCTGGGTTCCATATACATGGGATCATCTTGCCTTATGAAAGGGCCCTATATCTTCCTTTTCAGGGTCTCTGTTCCATGGGAACTGAGACTTATTAGAAGTCCTTATCCTGACTTCACCATAAAACCCTTCTTTCTTCTTACCTCACTGCCTCTCTCCCACTCTATACTAATGGCCTGGAATGTAAGGAGTTCTGAAATCTGTACTATATATCAACAGGGGATACCTATATGCACGTGTTTATTGCAGCACTATTCACAATAGCAAAGGTAGGGAATTAACCTAAGTATACATCTGTGGACAAATGGATAAAGAAAATGTGGCATGTACCGTATTTTGCCATGTATAATGTGTACCCAATTTTTGGCCCACACTTTCAGGAAAAAGTATTTTTTTTTTTTGCAGTTTTAGCCGGGGCTGGGCTTGAACCCACCACCCCTGGTATATGGGGCTGGCGCCCTACTTGTTGAGCCATAGGTGCCACCCAGGAAAAAGTATTTTATTTTACTTTTTTAATTCAAATTGTAATTTATATTTAAATTTGTACTTGATTTTTGTATTATAAAGGAATTTTAGCATTTTTAAAACATGATTACACTTTTAACCCATGAGTATATATAAAAGCATTAAAACTTTTATATAAATACACAATTAATGCTACCCCTGTATAAAGTACATCCTTAGTTTTCCCTCAGAAATTTGAGCAAAAAAAGTGTGCATTCTTCACAGCAAAATAAAGCATTTACACAACAGAATACTCTTTGGGCATAAAAAAGACAGAATCATGTCATTTGTAGTACATGATGGAACTGAAGGTCATCATGTTAAGTGAAATAAACCAGGCACAGGTAGGCTAACATCACATATTCTCAATTATATATGGTAGTGAAAATGGTCTCATAAAGGTAGAGAGGGAGTTGAAAGATAGTAGAGCCTGGGTAGAGGAGAAGGGCTTGGAGGGGGTTAAAGAGAGGTAGGTTTAGGGTAAGTTCTAACATTCAACAGCAGAGTAAAGTGACTATAATTAACAGCAATATACTGTATATTTCAAAGTGCGTAGAATAGAGGACTTGAAGTGTTTCCAACACATGGAAATGAGTATACTTAAAGTGATGTACATTTCAAATACACTAAATACCCTGACTTGATCATTGCACACTTTATGTATCAAAATATCACAAATACCCCCATAAATATGTCAAATATTATTTATCAATAAAATAAAATTAAAATACCTATTTTAGCAGGCCACATGCCTGGCCAAACATTGGGAAGACAAGACAAGGAGAATAGATACTGGAGTAGAAGAGTAACACTGTGTGATAGTATTGAATTATTTGGGATTTCCTTTTTTTTTTTAAATCATTATTTGCTTTAGGTTTCCTTTTAAATTATTCATTGTATTTTGAATTTTATAATTTCAATCACAATGATGGCTGCAACCAAAAAAATAGCCGAGCATTGCGGCAAAAGCGCCTGTAGTCCCAGCTACTTGGGAGACTGAGGCAAGAGAATAGCTTAAGCCCAAGTGTTTGAGGTTGCTGTGAGCTGTGATGCCACCGCACTCTACCCAGCCATCATTGTTGTTTGGTGGGCCCAGGCTGGATTTGAATCTGCCAGCTCAGGTGTATGTGGCTGGCACCTTAGCCGCTTGAGCCACAGGCGCCCAGCCACTGTTGTCGTTGTTTAGCAGGCCTGGGCCGGCTTCGAACCCACCAGCCTTGGTGCATGTGGCTAGTGCCACAACCACTGTGCTATGGATGCCGAGCCTGCCTTTGGGTTCTTGATTTCAAACACCATGACCTTTAGCAGGAAAGAGTTCCAAGAGACAATCTACCATCAGTCCTACAGCTTTCTCTGAACAGTTAGTGTTAGTGGATGTTCATGTTTGTGGGATCCTTTTAGGACATAGAAATACAGACTTGGAAACATTAATTGTAAATTTACTATTGGACATTTCCTCTTATCTTGTTCCATCTCTGGTAGAAATACCTCAAAAGATAGGAAGTCTGGGTTTCTCAGATTAGATTTTTTAATGTTTTTTTTTTTTTGAGACAGAGTCTCAAGCTGTCACCCTGAGTAGAGTTCTGTGGCATCATATCTCACAGCAACCTCAAACTCTTGGGCTTAAGCAATTCTCTTGCCTCAGCCTCCCAAGTAGCTGGAACTACAGGCGCCTGCTACAACGCCCAGCTATTTTTGTTGCAGTTGTCATTGGTGCTTAGCTGGCCAAGATTGGGTTCAAACCCATCAGTTGTATGTGGCTGGCACCATAACCACTGTGCTACAGGCGCAGCGCCTTAATATTTATATTATTTTGTCCATTTCACTATTGAAATGGGGGGGTGCTTTAGATTTCTGTATTCAAATTACACTGCTTTCTTTCTTTTTTTTTTTTTT